GTTCATTCGATGCTATAATTCTTCTTCATTTTGTTCAGGTACGAGAGGGAGTTCTTCTTGAACGTTGTCAGCGGCAATGGGATTGTTTCCTGGGGCGCCGTGGACACCAGCAGATCAGATGACCGCAGGGATGAGATAATAGGTTTTGTAACCACGAGGATGATTGCGGCAAAAGATAGCGAGGTATTACCATACAGGAGGTCCTGATTATGGTATATCTAAATGGCCAGCTTGATGGAGCTAATGGTTTTTATATGCAGATTGAGGACCTGTTTAGGTATAACAGTCCGCGCAAAGATCTAACACTTGTGTATATATTGACGCTGGGTGTGGTGGATGGCTACAGAAACCTTGGGATAGGTTAGTTGCATTGTATTATCGTCTTACTTTTAAGGTTTGCCTTGTGAATTGATGTGGTTCATCCTTATGATAATTCTAACTTGCAGCATCATCACTGGTTCGAGAAGTGGTTAAATATGCAGCAAGCGTATCAAATTGCAGAGGTGTTTATTTACATGTCATTTCATACAACCAGCCTGCTATCAGCTTCTATAAGAAGATGCTATTTAAGCTAGTCAGAAGGCTTCCAATGTTTTACTACATAAGAGGACAACATTATGACTCAAACTTGTTTGTGTACTATGTGAACGGTGGTCGTTCGCCTTGCTCACCACTGTAAGTATTTCCTTTTGCTTTGTCCGAGGATCATACAGTTCCTTATTCAGTAATTGTCCAATGTTTCACTGTGTTTTATTTCCTGTTTGTGATGCTCAATTCCAGGATAATATGTGAACTCACCCACGTATTTTCTGCAGTCAATTGCTTGAACCCTCCAGTGTGGTTGATTTTCTAGTTAGGTTTAGGACTGTTAATGTTTCAATCTGATCTTGGCAATTATCTACAGACCTGAACCTGCCACATGGATGTTCACCTCTTCTAAGGATTTGTCTTTGTGAGATCAAATGTACTAGGTCCTTCCATTTTGCATGTTGCCCATGCTTCATATATATATACTCTCTGCCCCAAAATAAATCAACTTCTAAAGTTGTCCTAAGTCAAACATTTTTAGGTTTGACTGAATTTATTAAAAAGAGCACCAGTGTTTATGACACCAAATTTTTATTTTTATTATTAGATACATCATGAAATATAATTTCATAATATACTTGTTTGATGTCATACATATTAGTGTTCTTTTCTATAAAGTTGGTCAAACTTAAAATAGTTTGACTCAGGACAACTCTAGAAGTTGATTTATTTTAGTATGGAGGGCGTATTAGCTCCTTTCATTTCTCAGTCACATTTTTAGCTTTACTCTGCACATTTTTTCTGAAAGGGGCTACTGCAATGCTGAATTTAGAAGGACTCAACTTTTGATCGTATAGACAAATGAGATTCATCAAGCTCTTTGCCCATAGAAAGCTAAATCTAATCTGGATAGCAAATATATAAATCTTGAACCCTAATGTATCAATCAAGTTACAACCTATAAGCTAAGGAAGCTTTCTTTGCTTGTATTGTTGATGATTACCTCCTTATGCATCATTTGCGTTCTTGGGTGTGCCTTTTATTTATTGAAAGGGCAAGCAGTCTTGTAACCTTCCGTTAGTACTTCCATAAAGCATCTTAAATGGACGACACGAGCATGAACTAGGTTTCACTAAAGTGTTACATGACATGCAATATTACAGCTAAACTATTTTACTATGCTGTTAATACAAATGCCAAGATGCTTCCAGTTCCCTCTCAAATTGTAGCAATTTATGCCTTATAATACGATAATTGTGCTCAGCTCCCTTTCAAAAGGATAGTTGTGCTTACTGATTGTTGTGAACTGACAACACTGTTCGGTACTTGATTGCTCAAAGAGACATCACACCATCACCTTGATGTCACGGTGTGAGCATAACGTACTTAAGTTCTCATCATTCAGACTGGGGATAACTAACTGTTTGACATAAAACAAAATCATCAGCTGGCAGGTATTTATCAAAAATACTTATGAGAAAGATCAAGTAAGGCTTCAGTTAGGTGTGCAGCAATACTCTTTGATGTTACGGGTTGCAGCTTATACTACTATTTAATAAATGGAGCTATTTAATTTAATTTCTTTTAGATATTCAGGGCTTTTAGATTTTTTTTTAAAGTTGTGTTTTAGGGTTTATGTGAGGATAAGGCTTGCAAAGTTTGCTGTCTGGACATGATTTCCTAATTTACAGGTTCACTTCATGAAAGAACATCGATTTCATTGCAGAGCAGCTTCAATAACCTCTTTATATCCTTTGCTATTGATAGAATTAGAGATTTTTGGTGAAAAATGCCCTCCAACAGCTTCTTTTAATTAGATATCCAACTATTGACATCCTCTATTCCTCCACAAGATATAGAGAGCGATTTTATTCAAATGGCTCTCGACTTAGAGGGTGAGTTTAAGAGCAACTCCAATCTCCAATAGAGTCTCCATATCCTTCCTAATTGCTAGGAATAGTGATTTTGGTGAGAAAACACCCTCCAACAGCTTATCCAAATATAGCCATCTTGTATCCTAGATTTCTCATTAGCCAAAGATAGAAAATGAGAATGACTCTCTAGGGTGGAAATAAGATATAGAAAGCGATTTTTATGCAAATGGATTTCTAAATGATGATTTAGAGAGTGGGAGCATCTCCAAGAGACTCTATATATCTTTCCTAATTTACAGGAATAGAGATTTTGGTGAAAAAATACCCTCCAATAGCCTCTTCAATTGGATATCCAAGATATCCTCTGTTCCGGATTTCTCTTAGCCAAAGATGGATAGTGAAGATGGCTCTCTAGACTGCGCACAAGATACAGAAAAGCTGTTGGAGAATACAAAGATATAGAAAACGATTTTTACTCAAAGGACTCCAAATGCTGATTTAGAGAGTAGATTTTAGAAAGGCTCTTGGAGATGCCCAATCTCCTACTTTTCTTGCCATCTGGTTTAGTAACACCAACTGGATACGACATGCCATAATAGACATTCTAGAATTTGTGATCGGAGCGGCTAAACTCTAAATCTAGATCCAAATGGTATGAATTTATATTTCTAGGTTCTAGTATTGTGAAACCATCTCATGTTCCTAGGAAGATTATCGTGGTGTTAAATGATAATGCTGTGAATAACACATGGCAATCTTGTGCAGGGAGATTGTAACTTCATTTGTTGTTGACTTCAGGGCTTTCGTGAAGATGCTGGTTGCCAAGTTCTGGAGCAAAGAGGACCATTGCAATCCGAGATGGGCCAGATGTCAGGAATCAAACATCCTCTTGGCAACACAAAGTAATAAACGGATGATCAGCGGTGATAATACCAGATGTCATGTATAGTTTTAGTTGTGATGACATTTTCTCGTGTTTTTCTTTTCTTTTCTTTTTTCTCTCTCTGGGAGGAGTTTATTGAAACAACGGCTGCTGCTGTACACTTCTGATACGGGTACATAAGTTCTCAAATAGTTAGTCATATTCATTGTAAAGAAGAGGGGAAAGGAGAAATTAAACTGCCACCTGGTTCTGGTAACGTTGGGAGTACTATTGTGCAATGTTGAAATGGTTGTGTTGAATGAACTGAAGCAAGCGAATCTTTTTGGCTTGTACAAAGGCAGCAGTACGTACGTGTTACAACTACTAGGTAAAGTTTTGTTTTGATCGATTGGTATGAATAGTTGACTGAGTTTTTTTTGACAACATAGTTGACTGAGTATTGGACTAGAGATAAAGGCCCGAAGTGGAAGCATGGATGAAAGACTGAATACTGAAGAGAAATATCTATAGCCTGTTGAACCGGAGGCGTTAATGCATGTCAGAAATTACTTCGACAATAAGCAACCGCACCTTTTAATCCTCTGCCGCCGGATTGACTATACGATCTGTCAAATCCTCTGCGTGCATGTTCGGTTGGTATTAAACCCGGTCGAAACTGTTTTGTTGTAAGAAAAAAATATTGTAGATTCTAACTGATAAGTTCAAACGAACAGGCCAAACTTGTTCAACAAGCTTGTTTGTGTACTGGTTGGCAACAAGCTTGAGGAATACTCCATGGCCAGCTAACAATTACCGTAGACCAATATCAACAATTTATATTTTCAAATATATTATTTATGAAAATATATTACATATTTAATCTAGCAATACTTATTATGTAACATAAATATTAGTACATTTTGACATATATTTGGTTGAAATTTAGAATTTAGATTGTTTGACATATCAAGAAACAAGAATTTATTTTTCTTGAGGCGGATGAATTGAAAGATACAAATGTTACCCCGGTCCCTTCAGGCCAAAGTATTTATTGTAGTAATAGTAACATCGAGAAATCCAAGTGTAACTCTGTATAACCATGCAAAGTTGCATATAAGCATGTTCGTTGGTTGGTTTCTGAACTGATAAATCCGACTAATTATTATTTATTATGAGAGGAAAATACTGTATCAAGACTAACAAACCAGCGATCCGTCTGGGGTACGCCCAGACCAAAACCAAAACCCTTGGAAACCGACGCGGTCAGCCGAAACAGGTTCGGCGCAACTGACCGCTAGGCCGCGGCCGTGTGGCCCTGCGATCCTGCGTCACAACCGATCGTGGTTGTGACCCACGCGGAAAACCCCAGCACGGGCACATCACGAAAAAACAGCCGAAAACCTAGCGATTCGTGAAGCGCCGGCGCGGCTGCGGCTGCGGCTGCGGCGCACCACCTCCCGTCTGTCCGTCGTGCGGCGCGGTTGCGGCAGCGGCGCCTCCCCCCGTCATCGTCAACCCGTCCGCAAGGCAGGCCCTGCCCACAGCATCGCGTTGCGTGCGGTGCCGGGTGCCGCCTCCCAAGCGAACGAATCGCACCGCGGAAAGGGAGTCCCTCCCAGCGGGGCTCGCCATAAAGCGCGTAGGCGCGGGCCGCTTCGTTTCCGCTGCTTGCGCCGTAGTTTAACTTCCAAAATCCAGTTCCGGAAGAGTTGGCTCGGATCGAGGCGCCGGGAGCCATGCGCACCAAGCACCTCATCCCTAACAACGCCGCCGGACTCACCTACGCGGCGCGCGACTACTCCGCCCGCGAGGATTACGGCGGGGGCGACGGAGCCGCTGGCGGCGGCGGCGGCAGCGGCAGCGACCCGTTCGAGGGGTTTCCCGACGCGGTGCTGGGGCTGATCGTGTCCAAGCTGCCCTTCCGGTCCGCGGTCGCGGCCTCGGCCATCTCGCGCCGGTGGCGCGGCGCTGTCGCCGCTGCGCCCGCACTGGACCTCGACTTCGCCGCGGCGTTCCCCGCCGCACCGCGCCGCAGGGCGGCGTTCGCGGCCGCCGTCTCCGCCGCACCCGCTCCACCGCCTCCGCCTCGCACTCGAGGGCCTCTTCGACCAGGCGTTCGCCGCCTCCGCGGCCGCGGCGCGCGGCGTCGAGCGGAGCTCCGCAACCTGATCCTTGAACAATGCCGCATCGGTGCTCTCCGACTTACCGGTCCGTCGCGGCTTTCCTCGCTCGCGATCACGGACTGTTCTTGGACGCAGGAGTCGGCTCTTGCTGTTTTTGAGATGTCGGAGCTGCGCATACTCCACTACTCCGGTGCAATAGCAGCTAGGCACATTATTGATGGGGACGTTTCTTTGGACGACGTCCTCCTTGCCATCGAGAAGCCATTGGTCAAGCCCCGGGAGGCTGCTCTCAGAGAGCTTCTCACTTTGGTTGGCAATGCACGAAGACTTGTTCTGTCACCCTGGTGCATTGAGGTATATATTTATCTCAAATTCTCTTTGATAGGTAGAGTATTTAGTGATCGATGAATCTAATTACCAAACTGAAAAAAAAAACTCGAAGCAATTTGCACGTCCAGAGGAATGGTCGAAGTTGCAGTTAGACAAGGTAAGGCGGTTAGACAAGTTTTTTTTTTTTGAGAGGAGGGAAGAAGGTGCATTATCCATTGCGCCATTGCTATCAAGTTGCGGAAATGTGGAAGAGCTCTGCGTGTCCGTTGTGGTGAGATGAGCTTCCTTGTTTTGTTAGTTCAGTGCTATGTTATTTCTGCTAGATTGTAATGATAATAAACCGATGATGTTCGTTGCTGCAGCCATCGCAGGGCAAATGGAGGCGGAATATTGACGACGGAGAATGTCATGGTGTGCTGGGTGGTAAGAGGGTGTCGGTGAAGCATCTAAAGGTTGTTAGGATGAAGTACATTGATGAGAGCAAAAGTGGTTTTGAACTGGTAAAGGTCCTGCTCAAGAACGCCCCTGCACTGGAGACGATGACAATTGTTCCTTCCATGGATGGCCTTGAGCAGGCCAAGTTTAGGCGTAAGGTGTTGAAGCTGAGGAAGTCCTCTCAAAATGCTAGCATCCAGTTTTGCACAGCTGGATGATATGATGTTTATGAGTAGGTCCATTAGCAAAGTTTAATGTTCCAGTCAGGATGTAAGAACATGAGGGTCTTCCTTTTTCGTCCAGTTACTTTTAGCCTGTATGTAGCTGCTAATTATTGATGTATTTCTTACAGAATTAATGGAACCATTGCCAATATTCATTTAGCTTAAGTCATCAATTTTCAGCTCTTTGGTGAAGTATCTTTTAACTCGAACAGAAAGTCTATATTTGTTGGATGTTTACCTTTCAAGTATTTTGTAGGATGTCAATCAGCAAATCTTCTCTGACAATCATGAAAATAGGGTGACAATTCCCTAGAAAGCAAAACAAACGGGGCCCATGTACACTTTGTGGCCCATGCAGGCCAACAAACGGGCTTGCTATAGGCTATGTACAAACCTAACCGTCTTGTTGTGAACTAATTGGTGGAGAAGCAGGCAATGTAAGCCACCTCCAACCATCGTACTGCTCTATATCTAATAAGAGGAGTAGAGGACCTAAAGGATGTTGTTTGGCTTTGACTTGGTCTAATTGATCATGACAGAATGATATGTAGGCTTTATAAGAAATTTTACTCCTTGAAATTAGTTAGTTCCCCAGAACTGCATCATGTCTAGATATGGGCGTTTTGCAGCCAATTCAGCTTATCCTTTTGTTATTTACACCATGGTTGGGTTTTCATTTGTAATCCAAAACGAATTCTCCTAGAAATTCAATGGTTTCAGTAATCTCCCTGATTGACTGGGTATTTTGATCTCTCCCTTTTCTGGATGAATAGAATTTGAAGACATTTTTCATGACAAGGCCATTTGAGAATCACCTATATCCTTTTTTTTATTTACACCTCCGGCTTATCTTGTAGTCAAGAATATGGGAGCTAGGGAGTAGGGACAGAACTTCTGAATCCATTTGTTTCATATTAAGCTGTTGACATTTATTGGACAAGGGGCCATCCAAATCCCTCATCTTGCTCGGGAGGTGAAAATGAAACATCTATTTAACAACCTACCTTATATATGTAATGCCATGGCTTGTATATATATGTAATGAGCACTAGGTTTTTGTTTAGGTTTTCAACGTGTCATCCTTAGTCCTTGTTTGGTCTTGTCGTTTAGATGCAACATGTTAATTAGAAGGATCTAGTGATGGTAAACTTGTCAATACACTATGTGATGCATAGTTTTTCTCCTTATGTGTGACACTACTGTGTCTTTGATATGCATTTAGTCAAAAGCTTAGCTTAAATTATGGAGGCTTTTCTTGCAGCCAGTGTCTTATGATGTCACGAGTCTAGATTGACATTCAAATATTATTTTATTAGTTGCTACAAACTTTTATCCTCAAGAGTTAATTTGAAACTCTCCTTTTATTTATAACTCTTATTTTGTGCTTTATTGCATTTTTTAATCACTACAGGTGGTCATTTAAGCCTACACCACGAGCGGTAGAACTTGAAAAGAGATCTAGGTGGGGCCAACAGTGTTTACTACAAAGGGCTTTCGAAGACCATGAACCTTATAGCTAATTTTGGTTTGCACTAACTTCCTCTATCACTCAAGATGTTGAATTTTCTTATAAAAGATTTATGTGTACTAGTATTTTTATAAAAAAGTATAGAGTGCTCACAATTATAATATCAGTATAGGTGTTTCATAACATTTCAACTAAATGTATAAGTTTATCTAAAGTGGCAAGTTATATAAATTATTGTCTTGTATATATAAAACTAATGGAAACAATAATTTAGGAAAAAGATGGTTTTTTAAATTCCTCAAACAATTGCTACTATATCTTCATTTGTGACTTTAGGCTCATGCATTGTGTTTCTGACTGTCGGCTTATGCTCAAGCATTGTCAAATGATCTAGATAAATGACCTTGTGTAGTTTTTCTACTGTCTTCTAATAACTTCTTTGGCAGGGCTTCGGCTTCTCCAAAACGAAAAGCCGCATTTTAGTGGCTTTCTAGGCCCAAAACGACTTTGGCTTTATCCTTTTTGCCCTGGATTTGACTTCAGAAGTCGTTCCCATGTGTGCTTGTTTAGTAGGGCCTTTAATTATCAACCCGGGAGAGAAGCCACAACAAAAGCCTTGCCAAAGAGGACATTAAATAATCTGTCTTGATTTCATTGAGCTCTTCTTTGTACCTCAGTTGGCCATGGGCCTGGGATTTCTCAGCAAGGCCCATTAGGATTTAGGAGGACAAGCTAGATAACAGATCTGATATCTCCCAAGGTCCCAACCGCAATCAAGGAGGAACCAAGTGCCCTTTCCCTTTGCAAACTAGAATATGTATAGGGGTTATTTAGTTGCCTGCATTAGTCTATATTTAGGTTTATACATTGCAGTTTGTCTATGTTTGGTTGTCTACAGTGTTCAAAACAGGTCCAGGTTTGGACATATTACACAATACAGATTTGCACAAGCCAATAGGGACACACAAATGAAATATTCTCACATGCCCTATCTCTGCTAGAAACATGTAACTTCTACTAGAATATTGAAGTGACTATATGAAATATAATGCAAGCTTATATGAAATATAATGCAAGCTAACTTTGCTTATATATGCAGAACAAACAAACACTTTGCAGATTTGGATTGTCCTGCATAAAGTATAATAAAATTAAAGTTAATGCAAGGAACCAACCGTCACACCGAAAGGAAAAATAGGCTACTACAGATAGAACTATTTGTGATACATGAATAAGAAAACGGAAATGATAGGACGCGAGCGTCCGTCCCGTCCAGGCGCCACGCGCCTGGGCCTGCAGACCAGTCGGTCTAATAAACCTCACGTCCTTCCCCTTCCGTTGCTCCTGCCACCTGCCTCGCGCTGCTACTACTTCTCCTCTGCCGCCCGCGCCCCCCTCCTTTGCTCTTGCTGCTCGCCCCGCGCTGCTCGTGCTCCTCCTCCGCCGCCTGCCCCATTGTTCCGCGCGCTTGCCCCACTGCTCTTGCCGCTGCTCTTGCTCCGCGCGCTCGTCTCACTACTCCGCCGCCCGCGCCCGCTGCGCCTGCTCCGCCACCCGCCCGGCCTAACGACGTCGACAGGCGTCGCCAACGCAAGGAGAGGTGTTAGGCCCTGGCACGGAAGCCCTCCGCCCTCGCTTGCTTCTACGGCTGTGGCGCCCCGATGCAGATGGCGGATCGAGGAGGCCGTATTAGGATACGATGCATGTTGCAAGCTCACATTTCAAATATTTTGGATGTTTTAAAGGTATGTTGTAAGCGTTTTATACGGATGTTGCAAAAATAAATCGGGATGTTGCATATGTTGTAATAGGTGTGCACGTATGTTGCAAGAGGCTGTTTTCAATGTTTCATCTGTTTTCCAGACGTATGTTGCAAGCGTGTTTATTTGGATGTTGCATATGTTTTCACAGAGATATTCCAAGTGTTTTATCTGGATGTTGTGTGTGTTTGCAATGGCTTGCAAGTGTTTTTGTAAGTGTTTCAGACACATATTTCAAGTGTTTTTTATATGCTGCAAGTGTTGCATCTGAATGTTTTAAAAGTAGATCGGGTGTTGCACATGAGATACATGTGGGAAGCTAGCAGGGACGCGAGCGGTCGCCGTGGGCGTGTGACGCGGGCCCCCGCGTGGCTGCGAGATGCAGGCACGGGCGAGCAACGTCTGGCCGACGTGGGCCCATACGTAGACACAGGAAAACGGACTACAGTCACGAGCGTCCGTGAGGACGTTCGAGCGCTAGCAGTGCTGATAAGAAAAATACGGATTAAACTCCATTCATGAAATGGGGATAAAATTATTTAAACATTTCTTATTTTCGTTAGGTTCAAGTCTAACGATAATAATATTCTACTAATAAGCACTCATTTATTTACAAACTAGTCCATTTACTAAATACATTTTTTTTTGTCCTACATCAAGTCGGGTACTTAAACTCATGTGGACAAGTTCACCACAAAAAAAACAACTAGTTGGGTTATAATGATATTTTATTTGCTAGTATTTATATATTATAATACCCCCTCTGTCCCTAAATAAATAGATTCATAGAGGTGTCTTAAGTCAAATTTTTTTAGTCTTTAACCGAATTTCTAGAAAAAAATGTCATTAGATATACCATAGAAGATATTTTTATAATATGCTCATTTTATGTCATAGACGTTGTTACTCTTTCCTATAAAGTTAGTTAAATCTAAGATAGTTTGACTTACATGGATTTTAGAATTGATTTATTTGGGAACGAATGGAGTAGGTCACTATTCAAAATGTTTTGGCAATTGTTTCGTGAGCGGAATGATGCAATAGAATTTTGAATCAGCGTTTTGATCTTTGATTATCCTTCAGGGCTCTTTTAGAAGCAAGGGGAGCAAAATCCAGGGATGGAAAAACCACCACTAAGAAGTAGAATGATAATTAGAATGATATTCCTATAGATTACACACCCAGAGAAAACTCAGGATCGAAGGGATCATAGTACGTAGTAATAATATCGATGTAGGGTTCAATTGGTAAGAGTAGTAATAATAGAATTTTGATTCAGGGTTTGATCTTCGGTTATCATGTTCAGGTGGTAAGAGTGGCCCGGGGTGGTAGTAGCCCGTTGTTTCCATGCTGAGTAATAAATAAGTAAATAACCACAACCTCTGATTGCATTTTTTTTTTCTTTTTGACCTTGTTTGAAGACACTCATATCTATCCCAATCATTATGTATTAAGATGGATTAAGGTTGAAAATTAACTATTTTCCACTTTAATCAAGATTAATGTAAACACGAGTGTATCCAAACAGAGTCTTTGTTGTAGTGTTTTCTTTCAGCCTGTTCGTTTCGACTGAAACGATCGTGGATTATAAGTCAGAAGTACTGCTGGCTGGTTTGGTGTGAGAGAAAAATATTATTTCAACTTATAATCTACGATCGTATAAGCCGAAACGAACAGGCTGTTTATCTGTGCTTTTGTGACCCCGAGTCAAAAAAAAAAAGTGAATCTCCCCGAGTCATAAGTCGTGACAAACAGGATTGTTGTCA